GGTGACAATGTGCTCCATTTTACGAAAATTGTGTAAAATTTTTATTAAATAAATTTAAAATTGAGTATTATATAAATAATTGGACATAGAAATAAGATAATATGACAAATACAATAAAAAAATTGTTGAAAATTTTGGACTGCACTATTACTTTTTTATTAAATTGAGTGTAATGTAAAAATTTTAATCTTTTGAGATGTAAATTAAAATTATAAGCATCTTTTAAGGCAAAAAATGTTAATCACCCTTATATTTTTCTTTCAGGTGACGTGATCTATTTGTCTTTAGGTAATAGTCTTTCTCAAGTCTTTCCCCATCAGTCCAAGGTCCGTTTTGGAATGTCCAACATTCATGTCTATCAATGCACAACCTTATATTATCACAGACATATATGCAAAATATATTATCACAATTATTTAAAAAAAAATTATTTTTGATTGGTGTGTGAGGTTGCATTTCGAGCAGTGCTAATTCTTTATATGTCTTGATAATACATCATCAATTTGAATCTAATGTTTCGTTTAGTATGATAGAAAAATATAAGGATGAAAAGTTAGAGAGATAGATAAAATATCATGAATGGTAAAGAAAAAAAATAGAAAAAATGAAAAAATAGATGGATGAGTTTTCCTTTCAACTCACCAAAATCAATTCCTCTTAAATTGGAATGAAAGTGAACGAAAAGTTAATTATTTGTATTGAATGTATCATATCTATATAATAAAGTAGCTAGATTGATTTGCCTTGAACTTTTCGTGACTCAAATCTTTTTCAGGTTTTTGATCCAGCGATCCTAATTATAATCTACATTTTTATAGAACTCTACTACATTTCTTTTATCTTTCCTCATCCCATCCAAAATATTGGAGAGATATCTAAATCCTTACAGGACTTTACTACATTCTTTTTATCTCTCTTCATTCCTATTCAAACCATGAAAAAGATTGACTTGGACGGTTATATACACACACACACACACATATATATATATAATATATTAAAACTCTAATAACAATGTTTATCTCTAATAAAATATAAGTTTATTAACATATGTTATCTTATTTATCTGTCTATATATATCTATACCGATATCTATATCTATATATATAATCTAATCTATATAATAAGCAGTTCAAAAGCGTAATTTAAAATTAACAAAATAATAATACAATAACAAGGATTATCACTAACAAAATATGGGTTTATTAACATATGTCATCCTATATCTATCTATCTATATCTATATATATAATCTATAATATAAAATAAAACAAACTTCAATAAGCTCATCTGACTGTCTCAAATAGACTCATCTAGCAGCCACCAATATCCTTCTTAAAACTATTCACATTGAATTCTCTCCCTCTAATTTAATCACTTCTCACTTAGGTTATGGCTCAGATTGCTTGATGATTATTGATCCGACAGTCCTAAAGCTAAATTCTCTCTCCAAATGTTTTGAACAAGACTTTTATTCCTTCCACAATTCTAAGACTTTGATATCGCTTATAACTCTCTCTCTCTCTCTCTATCTCATATTATACATTAATTAGGTCGTTAATTATGATTCTATATAATTACGGATTATTTTTAAAATTTTCAAGTAAACAAATTGACCTTAAATACAGATTCTTTGCATCAAAACAAATTGAATGATTATAATATATATCATATTTTCTATTAAAATAAAAATAGTATAATATTCAAATGAGTCAGATTGTTTTAAGATTATTGATCAAATGATCAAAACTACTCCAAATTTTTTTTCCCGCGAAACAATTACAAGAATAATCATTTTACTCGATTATCGGTTCGAAGTTTTTATGATTAGAATTCGAATTGAGTTGAATTTGATTGTTGAGTATAAAATATATATTTTTGTTTAAACTTAATTTTGTTTGAATTTTATGAATATTCAGAGTTGAAGTCAAATTGAAATTAATTGTAAAATAATAAATAATAATTAAATTAACAAATAAATGGTGTGTCACTATGAATGAGAATACATAAGAATTAGTTGTAGGTTTAAGATAGAAATGTTAATTAAGTAGAACTTAAATTCAATTTTTGGTTTGACGTAATTATGATTAAAACTGAAATTGAGCTGAATTTGACTGTCAAGTATAAAGAACAAGTTTTTACTTAAACATAAATTCGATTGAATTTTACGAATATTTAAGTTGAACTAAAATAGAAATTGATTTGAATTTCTTAACAAAATTTTTTACATTTACTAGAATTCACGTAAAACTTTTGGATGTTTTTCTCACAACAGTTACACAAACTTACATTGAATAAATAGTGCAGAGATAATGTTATAAACTTTACGTATAAACCTACAGAAACACAAATAGTTATAATTTTTTCAAATTTGAGATAAAATTTATAAAAAATGTTAAAATCGTAAATGTTTGATCAATAATAATTATATTTTTTTTCATATTTTTGAATTAATATATTACAATAGTTGCAGCATGACTTTCGTTATATACAAGTTTAATTATATATGTTCTGCATAGATATTGAACAATATTAATTTAATCATTGTATTATTCAAGTTATATTAGACATTGTCTTTATTTATGAACAAATATTTGTAATTTTTTACAAGTAATATAGTGCTTTTAGGCACAGACAATTACTAGTTTGTCTATATATTTTTTGATATATACATATACTATGTATATATTAATTTTATATATAAATACAATGACAAAATAGGTATTTATATTTTTTTAAAAAAGTTAAATTAAAATTTTTAAAAATTAAAATTAAAAATTAAAAAAATATTTTTTCAATTTTATCAAGCAAAAAAAAAATTAATTATTTTTATTTTTCATCCATCCTACCAAATACAAAGAAAGAAAAATGTATCATTCCTACTAATCTTACTTAGAGGATAGAAATTGTATCTCTCATATTTTCTATCACTCCTCGCAAACAGATAATTTTTGTCTCTTGAACTCTTTTATAGGCTTACATATAATACACTAATTTTGAGCTTTTATTAGTGTTGATAATTGAACGTGTTGTGTAGTCTTTGTATCTTATCATATCAAAGTTTAATATACTTATATGTGATGCATTTGTAATTGTGTATAATAATATTTAGTTAGGTCATATTGTATTTAAATATCTTCTTACCGACTCTTTTATTAATCGGGTTTGATGGATTTATTTATCGGTAACTCCAAACTCATGTAGCCAAATTTTAAACCTTTAAATTCGTACAAACTTTTAATCGAATTTGAGCTATTACATTAGTGAGGGCCCATTTGGAGGTATTAACCAAACTTGCCGTCACATATCAACTTCTTTTCTCGGCTGTCAAATAGCGGGGTACACTGAGAATAGTGATTGGACTGAGTATGTCGTTTATTTATAATTTGTCGGTCATTCATAAATCAAAATTATATAATTCTTATACAAATTTTTTGAAACAAATTAAGAGTCATAGCGCAGGACATATAATTATTGTGGGTTCAAAAATTTGAGTACGAGAACTTTCACCTTATATAAATAATATCAGAGATGAAGTTTGTGTCCGATTCTTTCCTGCACAATGAGTATGCTTTAGACAGCTTTCGAACATGCTCTGATGTATATTGTAGCTACACATTTTTTTTTTTTTTTCGTTTTTGAAATGACTAGCTATTGTAAACGTGCGTTGAACGTGAACTATTTGATCATGAACCATTTTTCAGTGTCAATCGTTATTTAAAATGAATAATTACTACCAATCATTTAAAAAAATTATCAATAGAAGATATTGCACCTATACATTAAACTATTACTATATTTTCCCCTAGTATGGGAACAGCAAGTTAAAATGTATATAGAATTCTAAACGAAAAGAAATAATTTTGAGTCAAGACCAGAAGTATGGCATACCTAACAATTTGCAATTCGCAACTCGAAGAGGTTTACTTCCAAGAAACGAACTAATTGTAGGCATTTTCTTTGCCATCGAAAAATTCAAGATACTTACCATGTCTCTTGTTAATACTTGCCTTAGATTTTGCCAAAACATTGAATGTTGCATTTCAACAAAACCAAAAAACTACGATTGAACAAATGTCACTTTAAGAATATAGAAGCTTTTTACCTGTTCACACATCCCACTTATATTGCATCGCATAGAGAGAGAGCCAAGAAGTTCAGCCCTGTGTCAATGGCCTGTGAAACAATAGAGGATGTCGAAGGAATGAAATGTTTCAAACTGATATATTCACCACATATGGAAATTGAAGATAAAACAATTCTGACTTAATCCTACTGACTACATAATATTCATATCGGCAGAAGGTATAATTCATTTACAACTGGTAGATGAATGGCAAAAGAGCATTTATTGAACCAAATGTGAAAAACAAAAGTTTTCTTCTTATTATAGGCATTATGATGGTACCATAGATATAATCAGTTTCATACTAAAGGAAGATCAAAAGACATTGTGGATATAATTGACTTTATATCAATAATTAGGGGTAAAATGGAATAAAAATGTTTTTCAAGTGTCCCCACATTATTAAATAGAATAGATATAGATGTTTATTTACCCAAAAAAGTCTCGATGTCATAATCTCTAGACTCTAGTTCCACCATATTAAACTTTATCCGATTGTCATGGGATATGGTAATTCCAAGAGACAAATTGCAAGCTAATGTTTGTGTACTTTCTCCAAATAGCTCCAATAGCTTGCACTATATAGAAGTAAGCAAGAATCTATAGGAAATCTTATGGTAGACAGTAAAGGAATAACAATTGTAGGGTTGGGGTAGAGGTACGGCGGGTCCAATGGCTGCTAGCCATTAGCTGTATGTAACGCAAGCTGGTGATGGCTCTTCCCATTTGAATGCAGCAGTCCTTATCAACCACCACCACCCCCCCAAACAACAAAAAAAACACCCCATATATATAAGCCCATACTCACCCTTTTCTCACGTCAGATATACACAAACATACTTATACAATATTAATCCAGCTCTGTAGCACAACTATGGCTACATTGGTACTAACATCGTTAAGAAACAGCATTCTCTCTCTTTTCTTACATGTCCTGGCATTCTCATTCTCTGTTCGAGGACGACCAGCGACTTTTCTGCAGGACTTTCGGATAACATGGTCCGACTACCATATCCGGCAAATCAACAGAGGGAGGGCCATTCAACTAGTTTTAGACCAAAGTGCAGGTACAACATTTCCATGGGGTCCCTTGTTAAGCTCATTGAGTAATGAAGTAAAATTGGATCATGAACATATAATAATTAACTTTGTATTTGCATTTTAGGATGTGGGTTTGCTTCCAAGAGTCGGTACTTGTTTGGACGTGTTAGCATGAAGATCAAACTCATTCCTGGGGACTCTGCGGCACTGTTACAGCCTTTTATGTGCGTTACATGCTTGTTTCAAATGCTTAAGTTTTATCCTCATATCGTTGGGGTCTTATTTATCTGCTTTAAAATGTGTGATAGATGAATTCGGACACAAATACAATACGTGACGAACTGGATTTTGAATTCTTGGGGAATCGGACGGGGCAGCCTTACACTGTTCAAACCAATATTTATGCCCATGGAAAGGGCGTTAGGGAACAAAGGATCAATCTCTGGTTTGATCCTGCTGCAGAGTTCCACATTTACTCAATTCTATGGAACCGTCATCATGTTGTGTAAGTTAGAAATTTCATTACCACAATCACTACCCATTATTTGTGTTGAACTATTTTGATATTCTACCAGAATTTACTAATAAAGAATACCTGGTTTTGACTCAAAAAATTATAATTCGGTACTGTAATCTTACCCATAGTTACCCCCAGGTGGTATTAATTTTTTTTCCCATGATGGTGGTGTAGTTTCTATGTGGATGAAGTGCCAATTAGGGTTTACAAGAACAACGAAGCCAGAGGAATTCCATTCCCAAAGTTCCAACCAATGGGAATCTACTGCACACTCTGGGAAGCAGATGACTGGGCTACAAGGGGTGGACTTGAGAAAATAGATTGGAGGAAAGCTCCATTTTATGCATACTACAAAGACTTTGATATCGAGGGATGTCCAGTGCCAGGGCCAAGAACATGTGCTTCAAACCCTAATAACTGGTGGGAGGGAGCTGCCTACCAGCAACTGAGCCCCGTTGAAGCGAGAAGTTATCAATGGGTTCGCATGAACCACATGATCTACGATTACTGCACCGACAAATCACGGTACCCGGTTACCCCACCAGAGTGTGTAGCCAGAATATAACTTTCATGCAATCAGCCACCCTGCATTTATTAATACATATGTCTTCATATATATGTTAATGTTATGGTGAAATTCCATATAAGAAGCAATAACCATATTCGCACATCTAGAGTTTGAAACTTTCTGATGCAACAAAATTTGAGTCTAACCCATTATTGTTGTTGTGTTGACATGAATGCGAGGTTTATATGGTTCGGCCTGGAAATGGGTAAAAGTGAATGTCACCTTAGCCCTGTACTATTGTTTTGCCTGTATTTGCTGCAAACTGCATTGGGCCAATAATGCTTTCGAATGATTTTGAAAAGGACGTTTTGATACAATATACAATCACTTTTTCAAATCCAATTAGAAAAAAATTTTGCTATCCATGCTTTTCAGTCAATCACTGGTTTTGCTTTGTCCTATACTTCCTATCTAAAGGTGAGGATTGAGCCGTGTACATTTAGTCGGTCCATCGCCCATGTGCATATGGTAATAACTCCTCTACCGTATAATTAGGAATATTATTGGACGTGGACGTGAGCGAGGACGTGGACATGGACGGGAGCGAGGGCAGGGGCAAGAGCGAAAGCGAGGCCAGGGTCGGGGCGGGGGCAAGGGGAGTAATCCCTACCCTTGTACTCTCTTAATAAAAGTCCGTCCACTCCCAATTTACCCTTTTTAGTAGGATAAATTTTAATCCTCATTCTCACCCCTGCTTCCATTCACACCCACATCCATTGCAATTAATTTCTATTAGTTTAAGAAAAAAAATTTTAAAAAAAATCATAACAATTAAAGTACATATCATATCATTGTATACATATATTACATGATATGATCAAAATAAAAAATCTATATAATAAAGTATAATACAATTCAAATTTCAAAAGATAAATAAAATAATTTTTATTTTTCATGGTTGAGATCAATTTAAATTTTACTTTAAAGTTAATTTAATGACTAATATTAACACCCTAAATTTAATAGAAAAAAAATCCCTAAAATTGTGTTTAGGATGACTTTTAAAAAGTATTTATAGTATTTCTCATAAGTACTTTAAAAAAAATAGTATTTAGAACTGTCCCACCATCACCTCTACCATCATCACCATTAACACTACCGTTGCTACCCCACCACCACCTCTATCACGGCAACCACCACAACCGCCGCTACCACCACCCCACTACCACCATTTCCGCCACCCCACCACTACCTCCACACTCACTACTCCACCACCACCATCACCACTACCACTATTACCGTCTCATCATCATCATCATCACCACCGCTCACCACCCTACCACCATAACCACCTCCACTATCACCATTATTACCATCACTGTCGTCGTCATCCCAAAAATACCTCTGTCACAACAATCACCATCACCGACCCACCACCACCACCATTGTTGCCACCCCACCACCATCGTTTTCGTCGCCGCCACCACTATTGTCGCCACCCCACCACCACTATCACCGCCACTATTGCCACTACCCTATCACCATCACCCCCATCACTAGCCCAACGACCATCACCACTACCATAATCATCATCGCCGCTGTCACCCCATCACCACCATCACTACCGTCGCCACCCCACCCCCGATAGCTACCACTATTGTCCACCACCATTACCACCACCCACCACCATTGTCATATCATTTCTATATTTATTATCATTACTATCATCATCCCATTACCACCGTCGCCCACCATCAACACCTACCACCACTCATCATCACCTATCATCGCCGTTAGTTATTGTCACCTATTATCGTCGCCAACCACTGTCACCACCTCCACCACACCTACCACCACCACCCATCACACCTACCATCACCACCCACCACCACAACCTACCAGCACCATCGTCGACCCACCACCACCACCGGCGTCATCCATGGTTGTCTTTACCACCATTGTCACCTTAAACTCACCACCACCATCACAGATGTTACCACCACCCCCGTTCACCCCCATACAATCGGTGTTTAAATTCTTTTCTTTCTTCTCTATGTTTGAAATTTGATTTTAGGTTTTAATATAAATATGTTTATTGTTGACCATTTTTTTTATTACTTTGTATCTTCAGGCACAGACAATAACTAATAAATAAATAACTTAATAACATAATCCTTGCATTATTAAGCAAAAACAACAACAACAATAATAAAGATATATAGATTTATGCCTCTCATGTGTCTTGATTATCTTGAATTAAGGTTGGGGATTCCTAAATACTAATAGAGATATATATCTCTATAGAGATAGATATTTATATATAAATCTAACGGGTCTAGTGAGGCGGAGAGAAAAAAGGCTAAATTTAAGTACACTCTGCATCTATCTTCGTTAGGATTTATATGAGTATTTTTATATACATTCACCATCCAATATATATAGTTCATTCTTGATCCAAACAGAATGAATTTGGACATATTTCCATTTTTTTCCAATGCACTGTCATCCCTAGGTACAACACACGATGTTGTTACAAAAGCAGCACCATTAGGACATCGTACTGCCTTGATACAATTAAAGATCAAAATATCATTTCGAAACGGGCGAAACATCCAAAACGTTTCCATTTTCAAAGAGATCGAAACGAATCAATGATGGAATTGAAATTGTAATACTTCGAGATGTTCCATAATGGTTTGAAATGTTTTGTTATATTTCAATGCATTTGCACAATTATTTCAAAATATTTCAAGGTATTTTAAGTTATTTTAGCATATTTTGACCAATATTTTAAAAAATAATTCTTAAATTTTTTATTTTTTTCATTCTATTTTTGAAACTGGTTGAAAAGTTTGCAAAACACATTGAAATATTTTTATTTTCTAGATAACCGAAATAATGCACCGAAACAAAATTTTGATTATGGGATACAATGTCATTTTGGTACTTATTTGGGAAGAACACCCTGTATTATACCAAAAAGAGGAGTTGAACCCATTTATATATTGATCTGGTTGGATTTAACGTGTTTGCCTGGGATTGGGTCAAAAAGTTTATAGAATGTCATTTTATCTAATATTAAGACTGAATTCTCAACTTACAAAAACACAATAACGATAAAAATTAATTCAATACTCATCTATTTTGATATAATGATATAAAATTCATTCCAAACACTTTTTTTTTTGGCTAAAAACATTATATTCTCTACACGACCTCTAATGTCAAACAAACCAATTAACATATTCACACATTCTCTAACATTAAATAATCTCATTAATTTACGTGTACCTCTTTTTTCCTTCTCTTTATTTTAATTTTAAATTACGTAATTAGAAAAATTAAATTACTATTTAAAATATAAATATTTTATAATTAATATTTTTTTTTGGTATTATATAATATCTTCAAACACAAGATTATCACTAGCCCCTTTATGTGAGGGGTAAGACTTCGATGTTAAAGAGGTATTCTATTGAAGCTTATTATGCTTTTTAGTCAAAGTATAATTTTTTAAATTAACATGAATCAAGAAACATTGAAAATCAATCTTAAAGTTTTATGATAAATTTTACCCAAAAAAATTATATCCTAAACAAAAGAAGACATAAATCACACTGCAATACCCAAACATAATTTTTTTTGATGCCGTAATTACCATGTGCGAGACATGTTTCTAAAGTCAAATGTTCAAATGGCTGTTATATGCTACCTTGTTCAGATTGATCACTGTATTCTTTGTTCGAGCAAGATCATTAACCACCCCCCCCCCCAAAAAAAAAAAAAAAACACACACACACACACCCCCACACTATCCAAGATTATTAACATGGTTCACAGTATCGGATGATTCAAATAGAAGTGCATGCCTTTTTACTAGGGTAATTAGAATACAATTCACAACTGGATTGAAGCAAGCATTAACAGGTTTGGCAGCCGGTGTGCACAGGCGTAAAAAATAAGGGATCCCGGAGTATAAAGCTAGACTGAAGGTTTTTGAGCAAAACAACTATCCAGTTTTATGTACCCAACAGCATTAGACATAATTTCTGGGTCTATGGAAAAGAAAATAAAAAGTTTGGCCATTGTTCAGTTGTTCCAGTACTGGAAGGAAAAGTGATGCTTGGCTTCCACCCACAGTAACTCAACCAAACATTGCCCACCATAAATCATCAGCACAAAGTTGCTTACACGCAAAAAAAGTTTGTGCTTTCAGGAAAGGTTTTGTAGGTTACAGCAGGATTAAAGCTATGTGGCAGTCATAAATTGAATCTCTCGAAGCCTTCCGATTAAGCATGAACATACAATCAACTCAAGGGCTAGCGTATAAGATTAGGACAGAAGAGAAATAATTCAAAAAAATGTATATGATTGATTGATGGGGGGAGGGATGCAATTTTAATGATTCTTGGTCCATCTTCAATTATCAAAAAATTCCTATTTGAAGACACTGAGTTAAAATCCTTGCACAAAATGATGGATGGGAATCTGTGGGCACTTGCCTCAAGTTCTGCAAAAATCTGATAATCTTCAATGAGTAGGCCATGAAGAACAAGGATTCACTTCATAGCATTGATATTGACTGCAACCGGCTCTGAACAGTATGGACAATTCCCAAACAGAACATCAAATGACCTGCAATATAAGAATGCTCAGGGACCATACATCTAGCGGTGAATGTAGGAGAGGGTGAGGGAATCCAAGTTAAGGTAAATTATTGACGCAGCAGTAATGGGGACACAAAAATCAACATTTTTAAGTGTATAGAACAAGCACAAACCTGAATCCATATGAAGAATAAGAGAAACTGTCTGGAAAGCTATATTATCAAATGAATCAATTTGCAAAAGTTTGGAGTGTGAAGACCGTCATGCAGTTAAAGTGCAACGGAAGGGGGCAAAATAAAGTGGACCCAAGGCTTAGTATAATATTCTAGACTATTAGTTGCCTAATTGATGTCAATTTTCATAAATAATATTCGACATGTGTTTTTGTTAGATTTCACAACTTTCCTATTTCTATTAAGCATTTATTTTTAGTAACATACTTATAATTAGGACTTCTTTGAAAGCAACGTGAAGAATAAGTAACCTACGGGTCCAAATGGGAATGAACAATTTAGACCCTGAAATAGTTGCAGAGTAAAATTTCATAATGACTTCGCTGCTACTTTAACCACTAATTTGTTAAAATATGAAGCCAATTCCAATCCTTTCCCATCCACCATGCTTGCAACCATTCTTGGACCTTCGAAACCCGAAGCACTCAATATGCACCATAAACCAATTTTAGGCGGCATATTTTTAGCTTTTCTACTAACAACGTTCCTTTCCATAACAAATCCAAGGAATTCTTATACCATTGAACTCTAGTTTATCAACACAAAAGAGAAAAAATCATTTTGATTATCGAAAGAGAAACATCGATTATCAAAGGAGAAACAGAACTACAGAAGCCATTGGACGATAGGGGCATAAAATCAAGAACTATGAGCCTATTTGGTTTACGTTTCAAAAAATAGTATTCGAAAACAGTTTTTGAGAAGAGTTTTAAGAAAGTGGTTTTGATATTTTTTAAGATAAAAAACTTGTTTGGTTAGATGATTTCAGAAACAATTTTACAGTACAGAAAATAATAAAACCTGTTTGGACAGCCTAAATATATGTTTGAACAAAAATTCAAAAATTAATAAAAAAATATAAGAAAATTATTTTTAAATTAACAATTTCATAAAAAAAAATTCAATAAACCAAACTTTAAAATAAACCAAACATATTCAATAAAAAAAATGTACAAACACCAATATATATATACCCATCACATACACAATATATATATATATATATATATATATATACTATGTGTGTGTGTGTATATGGGTATATATATGTATTGTGTATATATTGGGTGTGTATCTATATGTATATATATACACACAATATACATATATATACACACACAGTTACACAATAAACAACACCCTCATCACACACACAATCTATATATATATATATATATATATATATATATACACGCACGCACACAGTCACACAATAACATAGAGCTGAAGTAGATCTGAAGATGTCTGGAGAGAGACACCTTCAAATCTCATTTTTTTTGCAAAATTTGGAGAACAAAAAAGTTAAACAAACAGGTTTTTGGTGTTTTTCAAATTTTGAGAACAAAAAACAGTTTTCGGAACGTAAACCAAACACGCCCGATGTATCTTCAAATCTATGGCAAAAGGGTGCAAGTATCTGCTTTCTATAAGGTTATGTATGCTTAAGCTTTGGAATTTGGGGAATATTTAGAAAACTATGCTATCTAGAAAAGGGTGGGGGGCACAATGATCCAAGGAAACCAGTGATAAATTGTACTTCAAAAGAAAATTAGTCACAAGTATTCAATGGTCAAAACCTTTCATTAGAAATTGACGGGAAAAGGCAAATTTCCTGAATTGTAATAAAACTCTGCACTCTCAATCCCCATCAGAAGAAAAAAAAAACACACACTAACACCTGTCGAGGAGATGCCTGAAGTCTAATGCACAAAAAATGAAAAAGGATAATAAGCAAGCCAGCAGTGGAGAGAGTCCATGAGAAAGATAACAGTTGAGACAAATGCACATTTGAGTATTGACATTGAACATGATCTACAAAATTCGTGAATTGCACCAAAAGATTCATAATGAGTGCTGCTTTCTGAAAAAACTGGGTGGTGGGTCCTACTCATCTGCATGTGTGACATGCAACCATAGACAACAGGTGAGAACAATTGTACAACCAATCACAGTTTTACAACCTCCGCGGTACGAAAAATGCCAAAAATACAATAGACAACTTATATCATGCATTTTACCTTCCGAAAAAAAAAACTTAGAATCATTGTCAACTTCTCACATAATAAGAAGAGAGATATGAAGAAGTAAACATACTGCCTTGTTGTAGTGATGGAACGTAGCCAATCCCCAAGACAAATGCTATGGAAAGCCCTACCGCAGTCATCATTATCACAGGTATAATCAGTTCCACTCCCACTCTTAGCTCCAAGTTCATCATCTATATTAACACCAACCAGTCAATCATACGCCCGTGATAAATAAGCTAGGTCACTCTGAATGATATGACATAGAAATTACCAATGGGAAGATATTGCGCATAACAAATTCCACATTCATTTTCCTGATCATTCTTCTCGACATCTGGAGGTCCTGGAAGTTGAGTCTCCAGTACAATGAAAGATTTTCAAGGAATAGTTTGTCTTTTATCCTGTTGTACATAAAAATTATAGATATGATAAAGCAGAAATTTCCAAGAGGACATTAGTAGTAAAATAAACTATCTAGGAGAACTATTCCATGTATAAGATGGTGACAAACTTACTCCAAGAGGAGGTTGCTTGACAGCATCGAAACTCAGATAGTATGATCTATCTTGATATCCAAAAAACTGTGAAAGTATAATTTTAATGTGAAACGGATGCAACTACAACATATTATAAAATTCAAACTATGCAAGATATGCCAGTCAATGATATCGTTTTCCACATAAGCACTGGCAATGGGAGACCCTGCATGTCCCTCGATAACGCTACCTAATGATTTGCTTAAAGCATTCCATGAGAAATTCTATCAAAACAATGAAGACATTGCTTGATCTATCTTTGCAGATAAACATCCACTTACTTCCCAAGCAAATTGATGATAGGCAACAGTGGTTCATCTCATTATCCACGCAAGGTTGGTTGTGGTATGAGGTCTGCGCATATCTGTGAACTCTCACATATTCGTGGTGAACAAGGAGTTAACGGGCGAGGACGGGCTAGCCCTCTCATGATGGGAACATTACGAAGAATTGAACCAGCGGGGATTCAACCGATCTTCCACATGCAGGTAAGGAAAGGCGTTGAGGTGGTGTCATAAGCAGCATATTCGCTAGGTTATGCCCTTGCCTCCTTTCATCAAAATATGCATTACCTGATCATAATGTGTTTCTTAACACTGGTAGATCCAAGTCCATGGCCTATTTTGGGTTCACTCGGAGCTTTGGCAACCACCGTAGGAGTTGTGATGTACATGCACCCATTTCAAGGGGGTGCAACACTTTTCAGTTTGGGCCTCATATTTCGCCTATATACCATGTTCGTATGGTGGCATGATATTCTACGTGAATCCACGTTGGAAGGACATCATACCAAAGTCGACATTAGGTTAGCTAATAGAAATTGAAATTTATGACTTGAGATTAAATATTGTTTGAACTTTGAACTTTACTTTTAGTAACAGCAGACACACCAGAGGACAGGTTAAGTCAAGGAAGTTTATGAAAACATAAAGAAGTTGAGGGACATAAACCTAATATACTTCATCCCAATACTATTACCTATATGTCCCAATCTTACAATAAAGGCAGAGTAATCATCATAATTGAAAATCAAAATGCTGCACGAACATACAGAAAGGAATTTGCAAGTATACCATCCTTTCCAGTTTCTTCTCCATGTCCTTCTCAACAAGTTGACCTTTGGATCTGAACCCATAAATCGACACCTACCACAGCTTAAAATACCATTACTATCAACACGAGCTAGCAGCAATGATGATTAACAACTATGATGAATCCGTACTCAGGTAAAGATCTCGGATCATTGGCATTTATAGACAACATGACAAAGCAATCATTCCCTGTGAAAGAAAAGCAAAATACGATTAGTTTGTGTGTGTGTGACAGATAGAGACTGAGAGAACCTCCACACATTTAATTTAGCAATCAGTCACCTATGTTGATTTGGCGATATGATGTAGCACGATGTGATGGCTTTGGGTCAACAACCCAGAGAGACTGGTCAATATCATCCAAAGTAGACCAGAAATCCTGAAGCTTCTCCAGATGCTAGTTAAAGTGATAAGGAGTTGAAATCTCTTAGTAAAAGAAATGAATTCTTGTACAAAACCTATTAGTAATTAGTAAAAGAGAAAGTACCTCAAGTGGCAAAAAACAACACTCAGGGAACACGATAATAGAAAGAAAAAGAAATGCAGATAAGGGAAAACCAATATTTATTGCCCAAGAGACTAGCCTCAAGTACCTGTTGGAATTGCTGAACAACATCTTTCAATCTCAAGTTTACTGACCATTCTAAGTCAAAAATATAAGGAACATCCTGAAGGAGAAAGAAAACCAGTATTTTGGTCTGAAATGTAAACATTAAAGTAAAGAAAATATTATAGGCAGCTAACCGCTGACACAGAAGGTGGAAATTTGGGATAGGTTTTATCCAACAAAATCTCCATAGCGTGCGTTCTTCCTTTCTTGTCTCTGGAACTCAAAAAATAGAAGCCTCAAGCCCATCAATCCAACCATCCAGTGAAAGAAGCATGAACAGAAAATGAAGGATGACATATAAGAAGAGACTCATTTAAATACTGCAAAGTTGGAGAACATCCTTCTATTGTTAGTTACATTTTTTTTTTTTCTTCAATGCTTTATATTATGATAGACATCAAGGCACAATTTGTGAGCAACCAAAAGCAAAGCTTATTGCATTATGGTCCTGGTCCTGCCTTAGAGACTCAAACCCTTGTCTCCACACAGTAATCAAAGACAAAAATTATCTCCTAAAATACTTTGGTGATAACACCTCAATCTTCAGCTAATACTTTAAGGCTCTCCACGCTGCCAAGATAAAATATATAAAAATGTAGTGTTAACCATTATTACACAAGTATACTCTATCTTACAAAGCATTCTCTACTGTGTGATCCACGTTGTATTGATCCTAAAAGAGACACCTGCTTTTCCCAATGTTTCCACAATTGATGTCACAATGATTCTGAGTTTTATTTTATATCTCTTAACCATTCAGCATTTTTCATTTTCTTCTAACTATCACTTTATCAAGAGGAAAATATGAAATAGTCCAATCACGCCAATAGCTCTTTCAAAATATGGAATCGACTGCTCATTTAGCTTTACAATTTAGAAATTCCGAGATTATTGACAAGCAGAACCAAAGAACGTAAATGCCTTCCCAAACCCAAAGAAACCACTTCTGAAAAGCTCCTTTGTCATAATAAAGAGTACCTCTGCTCAAAAGTAAATCCCTTCCATCCAAGTAATGGACACGTAAAATCAGCTTAGCAGATTAATTTTATTTCAAACGATGTCTTATGAGGGCACTTGTTCATCCTTCACCCCATAAAATAAATATATTGGAACCTGAAGCACCAAAACATATACTGCAGTTCCTTTCAAAGAAAAGCGTCAAACCCATTCATTGTCACTTGTTTGGCTGTCTTAAAGCTAAATATTAACATTCATGAAAATAGTATCAGACCAAAAAAAAGGTAAAATCCCTGAAATCTGAAGTCCTGATAAAGATAGAAGGCAGCAAAGTAACATGTTGATTCTTCTTCTGTGCAAAAAATTGTAAATAATGCTGGCTGCAGCCAATCTTACATAATGCGAAAGCTGAGAAAGGTTAGATCTTCACTGAACCTCACCAGATGTTCCCATCCAACCTCTTCTATCTGTTTATGAAATGATAACATTGTACAATTATCGAGTTGAGGATTCAAAGTGCTTTCCATTACTTGCCAAAACACAAACAAATGAACAAGTATCACAATTTTCCTTGAAGACATCTATGCGCAATCAAGCCAAAATTATGGACAAAGTTATGTCATCACTCGGGATATAGTATTTACAGTAGTGCTGAACACTGAAAAACTTGGACAATTCAAAATGTACCAAGTATATGTCAAACACAGTATGACAGAGGCATTTTAGAGGTATCTGTCTGACACGCCAATTGTTGTGGCGTGTATTCGTTTAACTCTGTCCAGTAAAGAAGGATATGAACATATTCCTTGTCCGCAAAAATTATTCAGCAGCATTTTCTTATTTTGTTTCAATGACATGTAGATCAATCAAATAGAGGAATACTCAGCGTTAAAACCACATTTTTTATGAGGATATGCATATGAAGAAAAATTAGCAGTATCCCTGTCTCCTAATCAGAGAATTAACACATCTGCAAGTGTAACACAATTTACACCTGGCATCCATAAACTTGTCAGACTATAAGCCTTTCACATCAGTGTATGGTAATAAATAACATATAGATACAGTTGTACAAGGCCCAAAGATATCCAGAAAATATGCAAACCTATCGGGTAAGAAACTAGAGTTGTCCATTATGCTTCTATCTTTTTCATGCTTAATTAAAACTAAACCTCTGCATGCACATCAGCAACTGATGAGTTAACAGCTAAAAATTAGCACAATAACCTGGTGCAAGCAACTGAGAGTCTTATAGCTTCTATCAAATCAAAAGTGTAATCATACCACAGAGCACCAACACCACAGGCAGGTAGAGTTATTATACTTACACCAACAAAATGTTAGAAATTGGGGATTTCAAGGCACCATCAACCAGTTTAATGAACACTCCTTTTAATGACTGCTACTGGTCCACAGAAAAGACCACCAGAGTCTCACAAAATCAAAAGAGGCAAGTGACGTTCTACTCAATGTTCTCAAAACAAATTGAATGTGCCAAATGCGAAAAATCATAAAAACTTCCAAAGAACCTTAGGAAACACACATGGATTGCATATAATACGAGAACCAATCAAAATCTATGAACAAGAATGTACATGTTTTATGTTCAAACTCTAAGGTTTCATTTGTTTTGATAGGAAAGGAAATCAGTAAGAAACCATATAAAATTATTCAGCAATAATTAGTCATGCGTTGAATTAGACCATCATCATAGGCGGCTCGTCCTCAATTTTGGTGATGGACAATTATAGTATGACGAAATAGCACTTCTTTTATGCTTCAGACATAACCAATGCGAGTTCTATGGAGCTATATTATCAATCAAGCTCTCTGAAAAGTTTTAAAATACTAAGCATGGGTGGGTCTAAGGAAAACTTGAATGGAGATGAACCCTACTTCAGGCAGAGGTCGTCCTCTTTCCTAATAAGTTAAGTAGAATATTTTTCTCATACAACAAAATATAGTTTTGTATCAACAAAGTGGGATTAGATACATGAATCATGTGTCCTTATTGTGTTCTATCAAGGATCATATTTTCATTTAAACTTCAAATAAAGTAAAACATAACACTTAGCTCACAAAGGCTCCATGATAATACCAATAGCTAGTATTCATAGAGGGCAATCAGCTCAGAAATACATGCACACATAAAAATGGCATGAAATTAATAACAAATGGAAAACTGATGCATGGGAAGTGAGTATAGGCATGCCACATCATGATACATATTTTTCAATTATAACATGAACTTTTTCATGATTGGAATACGGCTTTGTAAGTATATGACAATGGTAGTCACCTCTGAATATATGGTGCGGCAAAAAGAAGATGACATGGCCAACTTTCGACATCTAGTCTGCTCAGTACATCCCTACAAGACCAAAAATATGTGGGTTTCATGTATATTTATATAGACACAAACATAAATGCATATCTATAACTGTATAAGATAAAGGAAGAACCTCCATTTGGTGTGCATTCCTTACTTAGGACAGAAATTACAGATATTTACCTCCACCCTAAGTCCAGGAGCAACAAAAAGAGCAAATGAAAAAAAAATTATTAAATGTGCTGGAATCAATGAACTATTTTTTCTTGTTAACCAGATCAACAGTACCAAAATCTGCTGGATTATTTGACGGATCCATTGATACCAAGTCAGCTGAATCACATGAATTTTGTCCAAATTATATATCTGCACTTTTGGAACATATTATGACGAATATCACTGGTCAAACAATCAAATCAAGTTGAAACTGATTCAGTCATCAATCACACTAGTTATTAGCATTGTTGTGAGTTTCTCAATTGAGTCTTATACCGAGTTGGTGTGTGCGCTACATGCCATCTATTTTCACTTCAATTGACTTGACATGCTTCACTGCTGCTATGTATTTCAAAATTTCAGGTTACAAGGCCAACCAACTACCTGAAAATTGATATATGAGCTTAATGCTGTAAATATGTTAATCCATTTCAAAGAGAATTATAATTCAATTTCACATAGCATTCAGCCACAAGGTAAGCCCAACGGATCAAGCTGATGTGAGCTGGCTATGACATCATTTCAGGTTTCAATTGTGACTGGCTTTTTTTATCCCTTCTTTCTCCTTCAAAGGTGGTCTTGTCATCAAGACTCTACACACAACTCATAAAAGAGCACTCATCATCCATCAACAAAGGCAACACCAATGTGAAGGCAAGTTTCAATGAAGCATCACACAAAGTCTACCAGTGCAGATCAAAACCCTTAACACAATCTACTCTGCGGATTATCAAGCTAATTCACATGACCATAAGCTGACAAGGCCTATGCATATGATTTGTATAGCATCTTACTCAAGCAAAGTTCGAATTCATCTTAAATATCACCATCTGGGTATCTAGTCACAAGATCAGTACTGTATCTTTCCCAAATTAATTTAAGGTTACATTCTTTTACATTTTTCATCATCCTAGAAGCTATGGCAAAGGCTGGCTCTCAATAAAACTCCCAAAACATACAGGGCACTAACCAACTCCATTACATGGAGTATATTGGCATCCGAACCCATGTGATGCACCGGACATCCCCTTCTCCTCCCAATGTCCTCCTTCATCCTTTACCCTCTCCCACCCATTCTTTTATAAGTTAGCAAAAATATTGCAATAATTATTGGATTACAAATTTTGATGTTTAAAAAAATTTAAATAGGTGGTGGTCAGAGAGAGTATATGGGTAGTTATTTAGGGTAGTTATTGAAGCCATTTGGTAGAATGTGTTTGGAGGATGAAAAATTTAATAATTCAAAATTCTTAAAAATTAGAAAAGTAGGAGGGAAGGCTTCTCAAGCCCTCTCCCAAAGAAATTGATTGTTTTATATGTATAGTATATAGATAAGATTAAACATATACCAATATACTTGCAGAAGAATAACAACGTATCAGTCATCAACAACGAACAAAACCAACCAATGGGTGGACATTAAAAATACATTTTTGAGACATAATTCATAATTGAATATCAAATCCACAGCAATTTACACATAATGTAATCAGTCAACTTATCAAACAGCTTACAGGCATTATACTATAATCATTTGAATTAAGCAGCAGAGGCCCAACTTGGCCTTTTCAGTTATTCCAATGACACCCAGAGCTTCTTTCCCCACCAAAAAATCCAGAATAACATACATTTGATGAGATTTATGTGCATGAAGGTGTGTGCACGTTTGTTTACAGAATCAATTTTGTGGAAGAAGTTACCATCTTGAGGGGACGACAAAATTACCAATTTTTGTTAATGATGGAACTACTTGAACCAAAGAACCTTCACAGAAGACACACTGCTGCTCTTAAAGATGACACAGATCGTTTCACATGTGAACTTTTGAGGTGTTCAGAATGGGAAGACGGAAGCCAAATACGTACCTAAAACTATTAGCGGTCGGTTTACGGTCTAGGATAAATTATACGTAGATCCTTATATTTAGAATATTACTCTCGAATACCTTTTATCTATCTCTATTTGTGCGTACCTCCGTTTATCTCACGTCGTTTGAATGTTCAATATAATACAAATATTTATGTAATATTTTTTATATCTACTACAATATATCACTTAAATATAATTATTTAAATACCCAATTGGAGGAACATTTTTAGTTATGTTTAAATTTTCAAGGAATATAGGTGTAATATTTTAAATGTGAAAGGTTTAGGTGATTAAGTGATAAATATGAGGGGATCTAGGTATAATTTATTCAATTAGTTTTGAACGATAAACTGATGGCAAATAGTTTGATGTGCACATTGATACAAATTTCTTTTTTTAAGAGTATAAATTAAAATTTTTAATATTTGAAGATATAAATTAATATTTAAACGATCTTTCGAAGTATAATTTGAAATTAACCCAATCTAATCAAATTTAGTAGGAAAAAAAATATAACAAGCCCAAAAAAATATGTACACAATGGGAATTTGAGATACTATGACATAGAGAGAAATACTAACATATTTGATAGGGATATATTTTATTGAACAAATATACCCTTTTGGATAAGTTTTGTAACGTCCTTATGTTGGAACAAATTAATAGATTAAGATAGAAAAACTCAGACAAAATTTTAAACATAGAATTGTTTTAAATTAAAATTTTAAAGGTCAATAAAAAATTGTGTATACTTTAAGGGTATGAATTATAAATTACCATTACATTTTTTCCTTTGCATTAAATTACACTAACACTGTAAAAGTTTTGATAAGGGTAAGCAAAAGTTTATCAATACATATAAAGCAAACTAATTATTGAAGATCTGGTTGGAGAAAGTTTCCTTCCCTCATCTCTAAATTTATAGAGTTTTGATTTTATTTATTTAATTAATTCCTTATCAAACCCCACTACTTACACATTTCAAAACCACTTCAATATTTCAAAATTCTCCCACTAACTCACATATACTCTCTAATTACATAACAATCATTACATTTCAATTATTTTATGTCTCCTCATTTATTTATTTGAATATTCACTTTAGGTCAATCTTTATTTTTCAATATTTTAATTTATTTTAACAAAAGGAAACACTTCCTCAAATAAAAAACTATCATGTATCCTTTATAATTAACCCTTAACTCCATTAATTATTTAATTGATAGCGAGAAAGAGAAAAAAGATAAAAAAATATATATATTAAAAATGTAGCTAGGATTTACAGCCCGTGCATTACACGGGCCCTCTGCTAGTTCTCAATAATGAAGAGACGATGCAAAAATTCCAAGTTTTTTTGCTATTCTTAGCGGCAATTGAATCATGTGTATGTGTTTGGATTAAATAATGTTGGGTTTGTACTTAGGTATTGCTTAATATTTAATTTAATTAATTAATTGTGTTAGATATATTTTGGACAATTGAATTCAAAATAGACCTAAATCCAACATAAATTTCTGAATGAATTTTTTGCCCCATATATATATATATATATATATATTAAAATATAAACCTGCCCCCAAATTTTTCTGGGCCCTCTAAAATTTGAGGCCCTATGCAGCCACCTTATCCTATGCCTAGCGCCAGCCCTGCTAACAAATCAACAAGCAGCTGATGGATTAGCGAAGGGGTTATGGAAGTGAGGCTTTGGAACCATAGTAAATGCGCTCTTCGAAGAACTAACACCGACGCCGCCACCGATCCTTTCGCAGGACGGACACATGGTGAGGGTCGTCGCCGGCAACTGCATGTAGAAGGGTTGGTCTAGTTTTAGTGCTTTTAGTTCTTGTACTTCCTTTTGTAATCTTCTGTTCTCATTGGTTAGTGTCTCACAGCGTGTCTTGAAGAACTCACAGTCCACTTCTGTTTGCTTGAGCTTTGTCCTATAAATTATAAACAAGAAAAAACCCTATTAGATTGACTTGAAAAGGGTCAATAGCAAGAAATTGGTACACGGCCAAAACGCTCTCAGGAAAGTACTATCCTAAAGGATTCTAGTGCAGTATTGAAAGAGGAAGTTATGGTACCAAAAATTAGAATAAAATAGATTTAATGGGATCAAATTATTAAGATCAATTTAAAACGTTAGGAATAATCTTAAACAATTCCATTTTATTATGACCTCAACAACCCAAGAAACAAGATAATTGGTACTGCATTCAAACCCAACAAATAGTTTATATGCCAAACCCCTTTTCAAGCATGGTCTTTACTATTTTTAGCAATGTAAATGAATTTTCTTTTTAGTGTCAGAGTGTTCGGATCAACTCACACACATCTTGATTAATCCCTAATTTGATCCGGTCAAAAACAGACTATTTACGTTGATAGTAGAGTATTTGCGAGAAAATAATCCCTCATAACATAAGGCATGATCCCAATGAGCTGTTAAAATTTAAACTCATCACATAATAAATTAAGGATGAGAACCTGGCTCTCCTGTTCTGGAACCAAACTTCAACTTGTCGAGGCCTCAGCTTTATCTCCCTCGCTAACTCTTGCTTTTGTTTCTGCGAGTCCAATAATCGTTTATTAGTTTTAATCAATTAAAACTAAGTAATAAATTATTGAGAGGGAGAGAGAGAGAGAGATTACAGGAGTGAGGGCGCTGTCTTGTTTGAAGCTTTCCTCTAGAAGGGCAGATTGTGCTTTGGTCAGTCTAAGCTTCTTTCTTCCATTAATAACACCATCATCTTCATCACTTACTTTTGAAATATTTCTCTCCACTTCTACCTCTTCCCCGCCGATCTCCCTCTCCCTCTTTACACTGACATTAGAGAAGGACGAAGCAGCACTGTCTTGACAATATAAATCACCAGACTGATCATTACAAACCTTGTTCTCATCAGTCTTTTTAGCTACTTGATCATAAGGCTCACCGGAGAGGCTCAAAGTCAGCAATGGCTCAAAACTTATTTTAGTCTTTGCCAACTGAGTAAACTTTGGACATGGCTTCTTGGGATTATCTGTCTTCAAAGGAGAAGTCTCCACCTTTGATGAAAAACTTAACCCTAAAACTAGGCCTGTATTAGAAATACCATCTAAACCCATTTTACGGTTGCAGTGTAATGGCTGAAAAGAGATAACTTTGTTGAGAGAAATGAAGAAAGAAAAGGAGGGTTGTGGTATATATGGAGAATGGCTAGGTCGTTGAAAGGTGTGGAGTGAGAGAGTGTTGGAGGAAAGAAGAATAAGAAGGGAATATAATGGAGGAGACTTTGTGGGCTGATTTTGGTTGGTGGCTGGCTATCTAAAATCTATCTATGATTAATAATCAAACTAATGAATTGAGTAGAGAAACGAATATGGTGTGGCGGAACTATGAACAGTCCCTCAATTTTTCTTTGCATAGGTTGACCATTTGTACCCAACTACGGTTTATATCCATCATTCCAATAACAGTAATAATATTGGGAGTTAAAAATCTCACTTTTATTTTATTAAATTTAATATTTAATAAAATTTATAATTAATTTAAAAATTATATATAAAATTTTAGGTCTGAATAAAAAATCAAACTCTCTCTCTCTTACTCACACACAATATACAGAAATGGTATGTGGATTCACGTGGCAGTGGGAAACACACCAAGAGAATGATTCGTCAGCCTATAGCCACCCATTAACGTACCAAATTTCACCATTATTAGCCACGACCTTTGCCCTTTCTCATGATGCTTCTGTATTTGGTTTTACTTTATACCTATACACATTCCACTTATTAGCCAACTTGCCATGCATCGTTTCTTGGAAAGGAGACATAAAACAAAGGATGATAGAAAGGATGAGTTATTATAAAATTTGATGTCTTAAATTTAAACTTTGATAATTTTTTTAAATTAATTTATAAAAAATTTATCTTTCATTAATATTTTAATTTTAGTATAAATAATTTATTTTTAATTGAATTAAATAAAAAATTAGTTAAGAAACGCGTAACTTGATTCGAAAATCCTTGACCGTCAAACTAAAAATAAAAACTAAAAGGAGACATGAACATTTTTCCCTTTTATAAGGTATTTTTCCTAGGGGAATGTTAGTGAGATCTCAAAATTTCACCTAATTTATCCGTCAAATAATATTATGACAGCTGACTTATACTAATAATACTATCAACTTTTTGACTTCTTCAATGGAATCATACATCTTGGAATAGAATCTCTTCTAATACAATTTTTTTTGGAAAAATTTTATTCACACCCCTTATAATTAGATCTAAATTTAATGACACCCCTTTTTATTCTAAAATTTTACTGTCACCCCTGTTAGTATTTGTCGGATTACGGCGTTAACGGGTATATTTTATCTACACCCCTTGTAAATAAACATAACTTCAATGACACCCATGTAAATAAATCAATCTTTAACAATACCCCCTCCTGATTTTAAAATATCAATACACGTCTTTTTATTTCTATTATATTAACCTTTAGATTCATCAATTTAATATTTAATTTTATCAAATTAATGTCATTTATTTAATTTAAACTAAATTAAAATTCTATCTCATCAAATCAACACAAAATGATATTTAATTTTATCAAATTAGCATTTAGTTGTATTAATTTAATATTTTATTTCATCAAATTAATACGATTTCTTTAATTTAATATTAAATTAGTATTTAATTTCATCAAATCAATACCAAATTGAAATTTAATTTTATTAAATTAAAATTTAATATATTAAATTCTATTAATTTAACATTTAACCTTATCAACTTAATATTAGTTATTTAATTTAACAACAAATGAACATTTAATTTCATTAAAATAACATTTAAATTTATTCAATTAACATTAAATTTTATCGAATCAACACTTGATTAATATTTAATTTTATCAAATTAAAACTAAATTAATATTTAAATTTATCTTATTAAGACCAAATTTATATAATTAATATTAATTTTTATCAAATAATATTTAAATTTTATATATAAAGAGTGATGTATTAAGAGTGGTCATATAACGTTGTGGAGGACTCACGATAGCAAAGAAGTTAGAAATTGATTGAATTTTGACATTGACTTATCGATTGTAATTTTATTATAAAAAAATTATTTTTAATTATAAAAATAAATTTAAAACCCTATAATTTATAACGAACAACAAAAAAATACCACAGAAGGAACTTAGGTAATAAAAGAAAATAAGAAACCGAAAAAGTGTACCTCTTACCCAACAACTTTATAATAAAATGAACTTAATGACTTAAAAGTCTAATGATTGTTTTGGATGAAAAAAAATTTTAAAAATTTGCATGAAAAAATTAAAACTATCTGCATAAAAATTTTTTTTAAAACACTACATGAAATGTTTTTTTAAAAAAATTGGATAAAAAAATTTAAAAAAATGTATTGAATTTTTTTTTAAAAATCTGCATAAAAAACATTTACAAATCTACAAGAATTTTTTTTTTTTTTTTTACCAACTTAGGTAATGATCGATCACTGTGGTGGAAAATAAGTTGAAAAATGATGGCCGGCTTCAGTCCCCTATGTCTTCCAGTAACTCCAGATCGTTTTGGACCTTTACAAACAACAAAATGTGTGGTATATACAGTGAAAAAATGTTTGAGAACATTTTCTTATATTTACATAAAGAATGATAGTTTTGGCATTTTTAAAAAATTTATAATTAATCAGTTACTTTTTGTAAAGACAGAGTTAAAAATTATCGTTAAGAAAGTGTCTTTGAGTTGAAAGAATAAAACAAAAGTGGGTACAATGAAGTTTCAGAATCTGGAAGAGATGTCATTGAATTTAAAATTGACTTAAAGGGTTGTAGATGAAATTTTCTCTTATTTTTCTTCTTTGGTGGGTCACTTATATCACGAATTCAGGTAAAATTTATTGTGTATAAGTGGCTCTCTTTCATTAATGTTGGATTATTTGCTAAAAAAGGAGAATAGAGACCAAAAATATTAGAAAACATCTATATGCATATTATTGACACGTCATTAGTTGATTAAATTAAGTAAAATTTTTTAAATTAAAAATCTATTGTTCTTGTGATTGACGACAGGGGCCCCCCCAGTCCTTGCTCGGTTTAATTAGCTACAGATGGGGTCATGTGCTTGGCCACCAATCTTTGCTAATTGGAGATGGTGATAATTCCATTAATGATGTATGTTGGAAGACGAGATAGGGATGTGCACAGTGCACCATCTAGAATTGAATGATGCATGTGTTAGATTATTTTATAGTGCGATACTGAAAAAAAAATACTTTTCGGTATTACAAACGTATCTTAGTTGAAATACGAAAATGATAATAAACCATAATTGGCATATTATATCTAGAAATGTAAGTCTTATATGTCAAACCAAGTATATTTTTCTAATTCTATTTTTCTAAAAATTCAGATCTTTAATGTTTTTGATCCCATATATTATTTAGAGTAATGTTGTTTGAATTTAAAAATCTGATATAATTTACTGACATAATAATGTGGTTTCAGTAAAACCATTAAATCAACACCAAATTCCAATGTTTGATGGAGCTCATAGTCAATCTAAAGATCATAGTGAATTAGGTTAATAAATTAAATTTCAATTACATTACTCTATAATTTAACAGCACGACTCCATTGTAACATGGCAAAAAAAAAAAAATAGGTAGAAGGCAACATTAAAGTTTTGGTGCCAAAATATGATTCACCAGCAAGAATTAAAAAAAAAAAAATTTTGGTTCAACGATTAGCGTTGTCCCGACCAACTTATGCGTACCTCGATTAATTCTTTTCCCTATCCGGTCAAAATCACACCGAAATTAGAGTATTTATGAGAGATAAATCTCAACTAAAAAATTTGATGTGAATTTTTTGGGAATGGCATGCTGAATCATTAGATTTTTCCTCAATCTTTTTGATGGTGGATGATAATCTATAAATTCAAAAGAGACTCATTATTTATACAGTAATGCTATTGAGACTTAAAAATCTGACATAATTTGTTGACATAATGATGTGGTTTCACTCTGACATTTGGATTGACTGTGGGCTCCATTAAACATTGGAACTTGGTATTAATCCAATGATTCCAATAAAACCACATCATTATATCAACAAATTATATTAAATTTTTAAGTTTCAATAGCATTACTCTTATTTATAATTAAGTCCCTCGTCCATACACCATTTATGATCTAGCATTACGACAAATTAAGTGAAAATGTGATGCATGACATCTGGATTTGCTTTTTTTTGCGACCCACCAATCAGCTTATTCTTTTTCTTCTTATTTTTGGTAAGTAATCATCAGCTCATTTACTTTCATATCCAATAATTCATTGTCGGCTGTGCTGGTGAGAAGCTAGGTTACCAATATAACACAACTGGCAACAGCATGATGCTCTATTATTGCTTAAAATGAAGTTATGGTTTTAATTTGCTTGAATTATTTCTCCAAACAGCGTAGATGGTCCCATGGACCGGCCATTGATCAGAAGGTTTGGTGCAACTCTGTTTCTTGTAGCTGTAATGGCTACTTATGTGCGTATCTTTAAGCAGTTGGATTTTGAAAACTAGATCACAAGCTATGACTCTAAAAAATAAAATTAAACGGTGTCTCCCAACTATTAAATCTTAATAGATTATTAATCATCTAAGTCTAGTCTAATTGACTAACTCTGATACTCCCAACTACGAGATCAGAGGGCCGGGTCAGTACTTGCATGAGGCAATGACTCGTGCTCTCTCTTTGGATTGTACTATGCTCTTATTTCATGCTTCTTCCTTACTTAATTCATAATTGTAATGATTAGTTATCCCGTAATAGTTTATAGTATACTTATAATCGTCATCCACCATTGTGTATAAAAAACCCTCTTCGATATTTAAATTGGTTTGTCCATGTTTGCCTTTTATATCCAGAAGGTAAGCACCATGACACAAACTAACAAATTGTAAGGAACAAAAATGATTATCACTAGTTCAATAAAATGACTATTCTTTTAGTTCAACTTCTTGGTTAAGACACAAGGGAGAGAAGAATATGGGAATTATCATAGGCCTATTATTTTTAAGTTTGTTTTTTTTTTTTTTGAGAGGGGATTTAGTCCAACAAATAAAATCTAGATTTGATTTTATTTTTTTAACAAATTGGAAGGCAGAAAGTTAAAAAAAAATTGGGTTCAACTCTTAGAGGTGTCTAGACTAACTTACGCATATCTCGACAAATCTCTTATCTGATCCAGTCAAAA